AAGGCTCATGAAGGACAAACTGCGGTGGCGGCATCAAAAACGGTTTTAGTTGTAATACTATAAATGTAAYATTTGTTGTCTGTCATTGTAGCTGGGATAATTTTACTTATTAAAGCTCATAATCTTACCATTTGAAACATCACTAGCCCTGAAGCTGCTAGTAGACATCACGGTTGGAATTATCAAAGGTTTTTGACACCTGAGAGACACCGTAGCAACTCCTTTGCGTTTGGAAGCGGGGGGTGGGGGTGGGGGGAGGACCAGRGAGGATGATTCAACCACTCAACCACTAGATGTTGCTGAAAACAACAAATCCTACACACTTTGCCGGTGTAATATTAGCATTGATAGTAGCATTTTTTTATATTAGTATGTCGATTTTGGGAAAGAGTAGTTTTATAAGCCTAGCCGTTAGCCTAGCCTGGCTAACTCCATGCTCTTATAAGATACTGTTAAACATCACTTCAACAAATGATCTAATTTTCCTGAGACCTGTAAGTATTAATCAATAATAAGAGTGCAGACAAGTGAAGATAAATTGAACATTTTATATAAATTTGTGGGTGTAACTCAGTTTAACTTTCCGATTTGGTCTAAAAAAACCAAAACGGCTGGTTTTGTTCTGCACTTCTTTTCCTCAGGCTGCTGCTGGTTTTTCATTATTGATGACGAGGGAGAGAGAGAAAAAAAAGGAGCACTTACTGCCTTTGCAGCCTTCTCCTTCCTCCACCGAACACGTGAACACATGAGCAGAGTGTGTGTGAGAATGCAAACAATCAGGATGCTCTGAGAGCAGAATCTCCCTTTCTGGCAACAAATATTACCAGGCATGTTCCCGCTCTATCAACAAAGACATTAATCAGTCAGACACACACGTTCATCGGTCTCCTGTGGGACAAAACGAGGACTGGTTATGCTAAGTAGGATTTCCAACATTGAAGACCTTCTTTCCGCTTTGTGATGGATGGAAAAATTGTGGCGTCACATTAAATCTTCCTTCTCTTTCATTGATGCTTCCTCTCTGAGCAGRATAAATAGGCAGTGTTTTCTGAAAGAGACTTGAATTGATTTAAGGTGCTGATGCTGCTCTTCTCTGTGATGCGAGTCCAGATCGATACAGGATCCGGGGGGACTTTGTACCAAAGCTTCACATTGCAGTGGTGGATGTGAGACGACGAAGCGTCTCCCTGCGTGTGAAGCCAGAAAAAAAAAACATTAATTTTACATTGTCAACATGAGATGATCTCTGGCTGGAAATGCAGTGGGGGATATGCATTCCTTCAAGGAATGCCAGGCCTTTAAATCTTCAAAGGAATAGCATTAACATAAATGATAAATACTTGAACAAATTGTTTGTTTAAAAATGCGCAAAACTCTTTTTTTTTTTCAAAAAAGATAAGTGCTCCTTTGCTCAGAAAATTTAGGATTGATTTCAAAGTTGATCCCGCAGCACTGTCAGAGGAACACCTCTTACACAGGGAGCCCCCCAGCCAGCAGGGGTCAACCTGCAGGCAGAGAGGCTCATGGGAGTTTGTTGATCGAGGAGAAGGTGATAAAGACAGCTCCTTCTTTCCCTCTGCAGTGTAATCCTATCTGATCCTGAGGCAGCCCCAACGCCAGAGGATCTGTGTCACTTTGACGGAGAGAAGCCTGAAGACAAGCCTCACTGTCTTTACTGTCGTTACTGTCAGAAACTTTGGTTTTTGTTTTTTTGTAGAAATTATTATTAGGTGTTAAACCTTTATTCAACCAGGTGGATCCAACTGAGATCAAAAATCTATTTTTCAAGAGAGACTTGGCAAAGAATGGCAGCAGCAGCACACAGACATTACCAAATCCTAAAACCACAAAGTACAATCAAATACATCATTCTAAAAAAGAAAAACAAGAAAAACACTCCCAAATACGACTAAAACAGAGTACAAAATTAATTCAAACTTTCACAAAAAAATGCCTCATCTACAAACTGTCTAAGAATGGCCTTAAAAACATAAAAAGAGACCAACTCCTTCAACTTCAACCTTTTCTGCAGTTGATTCCAGTCTGAGGAAGCAGCAAAGCAGAAGGAACTTTTACAGTAATCAGTACAAACCTYAGGGCACAGTTATTAAAATGAGCTCATCCGAGCGCAGAGAATAACTTACTGAGGATTTCTYAACAACAAAAGACAGGATGTAAGGGGAAGTAAAGAAAGAAATAAAGTAGTAAATGAAAAAAAGTTTAGCTTAATAAAGCTGAAGTGGAGTAAGAGGTAAAGACTGAAATGGGGTTCTATGAAAAGTTTATGAACAAATATTATCAAACCTGTAGTAGATAACTCTTTTAATGGCCTCAGTTTGGAGGAGTAGAGGGTAATTTTATACACAAAGCAAGTTTAACACAGCTGGGCTCGCTTTTTATAGCTTTGCTAAGAGGAGTTATACTTTTTCTGTTAAACAAACATCAACCAAAAAATATATATATTCTTTCCCTGGGACTTTGTAAATAAAAAGAAAGAAAAACAGATAGATGCATCGATGAAACAATTAAATATAAGATGAACCCAAAAATGATCCTAACTCAGTCAGTTTTACAGTTGGATGTGGGCTGAAAYTTAGGGTATTTTCAAGGTTTGACTAAAACATCGTTACTGACAGCTAACTGAAACTTTGCACTTCACATGCCCAGTGTTCCAACGGTCTTCCAAATTAAAAGCACGCAGAACAAAAGTGAAAACAGTAATGAACAAAATAATAGAAGCGTGTCAACTTTTCCAGTTTGGGAGTCCCATMCGAAACAAACAGAGCAGCGAATCAGAATTCATTCATCAAGTTTCCYACACACAGACATAAATCATCCTGTCTCCACCTCTGCAGTGCTCATAAAGCAATATACATACAGCATAAAACTGATATACGACCCCTTCACACTGCTGCGCTCTCTGCTACTCCAACATATTGGCTCCTGCGARTCACAATCCTCCATCAATCACAAATTGTCAGCTTGAAATAGACAATTTCACCAGAGCTGGCTGGGAATTCATTTCTGTTGGCGTTTTGCCTCACGAGACTTTCCACTACTGGTTTGAGCCATTTTTCTCCTGCACCTGTGCACTTGTGTGCAATAGGCAAAACCCTGCTACTTTATGT